CCAGTTTGCAATGCATCATGGGATTGAAACTGTTACAGTACTTACAAACTACTTAGAATTTTGATTTTATGGAGTGCATATGCACCCTTCACACCCCTTGAATCCAGCCCTGCATGTGATATTCCCAACATGTTTATGTTGCTACTCACATAAGTTGAAACTAGGCACTCTGGCTGAGGCCACTGTCTCTATGCAGTTTGCAAATTCTCTCCCTGTCTGCATAGGTTTTCTTTGAGTACTCTGGTTTTCTCTCACTTTCCAAAGATGTGCACATTAGGTTAACTGGTATGTGTAAATTGGGTCTTCAAACTTTTTTGACTGTTGACCCCTTCAAGGATTCCTTTTTTTTTTTTTTACTAGAAAAATTATTTCTTTGATATCAATATTCAGTAATTAATATTATTATAAAATAAGTTTTATGTCTGTATTATTAAATTTTGAATGTTATCATCAAAGATATTCTTTCACATATTAAATGTTAGTCATTATATTGTAGTCTTAATGAGCAAAGTCTTTGCTTAGATGATGAACAAGGTGCAGTCAAGATTCATTTATGTAACTTGCTACAAAATACAAGTTTTAATCCAAAAAAACTCTAAATAAAATTTCAAAGAACAGCATACATAAAATGTAATGAAATAATTTAAGCTGAATATTATATTACAGATATCTCGCAGTTATAATTTTAGGATATGATAAATTTTTATTAATTTTTGGATAGATGATTTGAAAAATACTTTGCCATAATTTAAGGATGAATATAAACAAATATTAAACTATTACAAATTAGTTTGTAATGATTCCTTAAATAAAATTTATACATATATGTATAATACGGTATAATATATATATCAGTGGACTCCCATACTACATGGGAAATACGTTCCATGTTATAGGAAATCATATTATATGATACATGTATTATCAGACAATTTTATGCAAGTGTAAACTTGTCTCTGAGTACTGATTGCACTGTATTGATAGCACTGATTGCATATTGTTAATGAGATGTGCATTAATTTCAAATATGATTTTATTGTGTGCAGAATGTTAATTAACTTACTTTAATAAAAGAAAAAGAAAACAGAATACAGATAACTAAATTTTCAAAAATATTATATACCGNGAATAATAGAAACTATGGTACATAATTTAAGGATGAATATAAACAAATATTAAATTATTACAAATTAGTTTGTAATGATTCCTTAAATAAAATTTATACATATATGTATAATACGGTATAATATATATATCAGTGGACTCCCATACTACATAGGGAATACGTTCCATGTTATAGGAAATCATATTATATGATACATGTATTATCAGACAATTTTATGCAAGTGTAAACTTGTCTCTGAGTACTGATTGCACTGTATTGATAGCACTGATTGCATATTGTTAATGAGATGTGCATTAATTTCAAATATGATTTTATTGTGTGCAGAATGTTAATTAACTTACTTTAATAAAAGAAAAAGAAAACAGAATACAGATAACTAAATTTTCAAAAATATTATATACCGTTATTATAAATTAGAAGCATTTGCTGTTTTAGCGATGCATACTGAAACAAAAAATAAGTCTGATAAGTTGAGAAGAAAACATACATGGTGTGTTCAAAAAGTATCGGACCTTTGGTCGGCAAAAATAAATTTATTGACTTTCAAGTACAAAACCCTAATCCCCTTCAAAGTAGTCTCCTTGGTAATGTATACACTTCTCCCAGCGTTCCTGCCATTGCTGGAAACACTGCTGGAACGCATCTTTTGGAATGGCCATCAGCCGGTNGAAAGAAATCGCAAATAAAAAAGTTACAAGAATAGTCTTAAAAAGAGCTCCGAATTTGTACAGAATACTTAGAAATGATAAAGGGATAGTTAAAAAAGAGGATAGGTCAGGTGTATATAAGATCCCATACGAGAATCAGATGTTAGGAATAGATAAAGAATATGTTGGGGTTACTACTAGAAATCTAGGGGTAAGGATAAAAGAGCACAGATATGATGTGAGAAAAGGTTCGAATGCCACAGTATTGTCTCAAATGGCGCAAACGGAGGGTTCGATAGTAAGATGGAATGAAGCAGATATACTGAAACAAATACACTCCCCGACCTTGGCAAAAACGGCCGAAAAATTAGAAATTTATAAAAGCAAACTTAAAGGGAATTGCATCAACGCAAGGGATGCCGAGGGACTTCCTTCCGCATGGAAGTTTGCAGTTAAAAACTTCAAATAAGAGCAGGAGCTTTAATATTATGTATATAAAAAACTCTGTATAGTTTAGTTGAGAAACTCCGTACAGTTTATTAAGCATTATTAATATATAGTGTTATCGATTTGTCTATTAAGTTTGAAGTATTAATATTTTGTATACACAATTTATTTGTTATATTTTAATATTTTATTTTTATTTATAATTTTAGCAGCATTTGTATTAATTATATTATTTAAAAACGTTATTTTGCTGTTAGTAATATATTGGTTATCCGTTATTAATATTTATATTTTTTGTATTTTGAACTTGTTGTTCTATTTTTTGAAATGTTCTAATTTACCTGACGATGATCCATTGATTGGATTGAAAACGTTTGTGTTAAGAATAAATCTCTCAGCGAGTGAACAGGTGTTGATTTAGTTATAGTTTAATTATCAACTTTGAAATTTTGAAGAATAAATTAACAAGTATATAAAATAAAAAGTTATTGAAATATTTAGATAATTATAGAAATCTGAAAAGATAAATTATAGATTCTAACAAATAAAATTAAGATAAGATTAATATAAAAAATTTAAACACAATATTTTATTTTTAACTTTTAATTTGAAAATTTGAAATTAAATTTATGAACAAAATAGAATATTTTGGTTTAGTTTAATTTAAATAACAGTCTAAAATATATTGTAAAAAATGTAATAATGAAGGTGTTTTAGTTCAAAGATTAAACAAAACAAATATATTATCTGATGAATAATTGCTTGAATTTCTTTCTTCAGTATTTTCAAAAAGAAAAAAATAAATAAATAAAAATTACTCACACTGATGCTTTGCATACAAATATCATTCTTGCATTGTTTTGTCAAAAGTTTGATGTCATTTGTTTTTTAACTGTTATTAATTTTTAAAAGTTTTTATTTTAAAATAAGAAAGCTTAATATTTCTCAACTTATTATTTTTATTTTAATATTTTATTAAAATTGTCTTAAAACATTAATTATGTAATTAATGATTTTATAAAATTTTAATGTTTGTTTATATTGTGATTTTAAAAATTAATCAGAACTTTTAAAGAATAATTGACAATAAATTTCACAAAGTATTTAAATTTTGCAGAGATTATAGAATTTTTTAAATTAGCTTATTCAATTAAGTCTAAAGAGTGCAAATATTCAATCTACAATATGATTTTTGGCTCATCATATATTTATTTTTAATTTATTTGAAAGTTATTTTTAAACAGTTATATAACTTTTTGCATTAAGTACTTATTATATGTTTATTATAAAATATTAATAACATTTAATGTATTTGTAAATAAAAGTTTTTTTTTCTAATTAGATAATTCTTGAGATTTCTATGTAAGTTTATATGAGATGTTCAGATTCAGATTTCAACTGTTCTTTAGATGATAAAAGTTAAGAATTTATATATAAAATACTAATGAAAGAAAATGAATAATTATAGTAAACTTTTCAGGAATTTTGTTTGCAAAATTTTTCATAAAATATTGCTTGACGATAGGGAAAGGTCTGAAGAGGACAACAGGAATAATCATTCCCAAGATTTTTATTACTGACAAGAGCTTGATATTTTCTTTAAAATAATGTTTACATTTCAATATTTTTATCATAACTATTTAATTTTGCTACATTTTTATGTTGCTTAAGTTTATGTAACTTATTTTAACTAATAATTAAATCAATAGAACTTTTATACATTGTTTATTTTTTTACATTTATTAAACATAGTGTCCTAAGATTTTCTCTTGGATCCACCTTCGTTTGACAATAATAATTTTTTACAAAATTGAGTATAATATTATTAATATTGTTAATAGTTTGTTACTTTGGAACAAATCTATGTTTTATTTGAAGTAATCAGAGTGATAATTTGTTGGTCAGTATTAAATATTGAGTATCAAAATACTATTTACTATTGCATTAAATCCTATTCATTATCTTAATACCATTTTGATTTTATTTTAAAAATATTTAAAAGACAATCAAAAATATTGTTTAATTTATATTTTTAAATCATTCTATATAATATATTCTCTCTATATAGAAGTATAATTTTTTATTTGCATACAGAAAAAGAAATCTTAATATTGAAACATTGGGTACATTCCAGTATGCATCAGTCTCATCTACAACAGATACACTGTGAATGATTTAATAAGTTTTTATTTAAACATCTGGTGATCTAACACAATGGCAGAAGTAAACAGTGCTATATTTTGTCAAAATAACTTGGTTTAATATAAGACGAGTAATAAAAATGGTGTCAATAATATACCCATTGAGACAGCCATATTACTTCATCAGAGCTACCATATCCACAGTTCACTGAGTGCAATGTGCATCAGTTGTTACACCAATGAACTCATTGGTGAATATCAAAATATATTTTAGTACATCACAGTTTACCAATGTGCTGTTTGATGCATACTGGAATGTACCCATTATTGTTTTATATAACAAAATTAATAATTAAAATATGATTCAAGTTTATATAAGTTTCAATAAGTTTTATTATTGTAATTTAATTTTTAAAATAGTTTGTTTATTATATATTTTATTCCTATTGTTTAAATAATTTCTCCAAAAAACTAATAATTAGGACTATATACAATTTTTTAAATTAGTTTATTTTTCCAATTAAAAAATTTTGTTTACTAGAGATATTGATATTTTTAATATCATGATATAAAAAATTTTTATTGTATCATAATTTTGAAAGTTTCTAGGTGATGATTATATTTCTGAACATACTATAGATACTACATTAGAGTAGATGCAGAAAATGCAGTAAGATATATTAATGGAACTAGACTCGATGATAGAATAATTAGAACTGATTGGGATGTTGGATTTACTGAAGGAAGACAATATGGAAGAGGAAAGAGTGGTGGTCAGGTAATTATAAACTTTTATTATATTGTAAGAATTGACATAGGAAAAATAAATCTGATAGATCTTCCCTATCTCAACCTTAGGGTTGGTGGGTCATCATGGTTAGCAGTTTCCTCTTTAAATTAAGGTTAGTTGTTTAATTAATAGTGTGATAAGTCTTCCATTCCTTATATTGTCCAATTATTATATTCTTAGACAGAATTAGATAACCCAACAAATAGGGTATAACGTTTTGCAGGGCTTATCACACCAAGGCCGACTGGAAGAAGGACCAGAACTTTATAAANTGCATTAACTTAACATAATAGTAAATTTGAAGATAAAATTTTCTTATCTTTGTTTTTTTTATTAATATTAAAGCTAAACGGGGTGTGAAAGGCTATCATTAAGGAAATACTTCCGCATCAGTCGAACCTTAACAAATGGAGTGTGGCGAGATCTGAAAATCTGTTATCCTTAATGATACCAAACTATTATAAAATTTCTACCCGAAATAAAAGCAAAATTTAAGTATTCAATTTATTATATATCGTATTTTTAAATCTCGAAATGCATTCTACGCCGATCGAATTCTTAATCTTATCAACATCTCTAATTGGATGAGAGATAAAAGATAACTTTGAAATATTTCTTAAGTGGATTAAAAAAAAACTCTTTACTTGCAAAAAAATGTAATATTCTTGGGAAAATATGCATACGTATATAATTAGAGAAATAATATAATTTATATAAATACATACGACCCAATTGGTTAGAGGAAAACATTAATTAAAATTCCTGAAATATAGATCATTATATTTAAAAGAACCACAAATTTGATTAAGGGAATATTTTTATTTTAATGTTTAAAGAAAGTAATGAAATTTTAATGGAATTTTACATCACGAATTTCATTTGACAAAAGAGGAAATTGACCTAAAAACATAATTGGAGTTTAATATACTTTAAGTAATCAAATATCCGTAAATATACAGTACATACGCGTCATATTTACTAAGATTATTTTTAACAAAGTATTGCTGAGCCTTTATTTATTTTATTAACTTAACATGTCTGTAATGTTTTTTTATTCATCACATCCGTGTGCTTTACAGAGAAAAATATCCTAAATTTTTTTTCTTTCTCGGAAGAAAAACAATTAAATAAAAGTAACAGGAAATTTCGGAATCATTATTGTAAATTAATTTATACTTCTTCCTTAATTTATTTTTGCACTATTATTGTAAATGATATAAAAAAAGTGAACAATATAAGAGTGTCAAGGTAGTATAGTAACAGCAGTTAAAAGAGGACGAATGACGTGACCTGATAAATTTTATAACCGAGCACTTTAAAGACTAAGCTTATGATATAATGTGTTTTCTGGACTCTGTCCATCCTAATTTGGTCTTTCTTTTGAGGTCAATGAAGCGGGTCAAGAGGTTAAAGCACTAGTTATGTCAAGGCTAGTGCAAAATCGTGGTTATCCGAATTATTATTACAATCATAATGAGCTATTTATAAATATTATTATTGTTGTTGTTATACCATTTTATAAATTTTTGAAACCGTAATCAGTTTATATTATCTGTTGTATAACAAAATCCTACCTTATAATTTATTATGTGTAAAGTTTTAATTTATATTCTTCGTCGTATAAGATGGAAGGATTATAAAACGGTTTCCATGTTATTTTTTAACAATTTAAAAATAATGTTTAAGATTGATACTAGTGCTAATTGAAGATTCTATAAAAGGAACTTGGATTTAAAAATTGTCATTTTAAATTTTAATCTATACGCCCCGAAATACTAATTGCCAATTTCATTGTTGAATATATCCCTTTATTCAAACTGTGCCTTAATCCTTTGTCTTGAAAACAAATGCATTATTTAATTGCCAAAATATCTTGTATACTGAAGAATATCTCACCTCTCATATACTAAGGAATATCTCATTTCTTCACTCTATATCAAAGGCAATTTAATTGCCTTTCATATAGGAATATCAAAAGCAATTAAATTGCCTTTGATATTCCTCAGTGTAGAAATTATGGAGGCAGAGTGATACTCTGAACGCAGTAACCTATAGTCGAGCGATAATATCTGGCATAAGGCATCATATATTATTTCGGATCATTTAAAATAATCCTTCAACACAATAAAACTCACTGCGCAGCACCGGCTGTACTTACCCCCGAAATTGTGACACACACCAATTACTTAAGATAGTAAAGTATCGTGTGCATAAGAACATATTAGAAAGATATATTGCTTATTAAAGAAACTTTGTACCCTTTTTAGAAATAAAACAAGATAACTCCTAAAAATTAAACACAATTTGTGTTTAAATTAGAAAAAAAAATCTTAATTAAGATTTTATTTTGTTTTTTCAAAAAATAAAATTTCTATAGGTTATTTCTATACATAATACATATTTGTGTAATACTTTTATTCTGAAAATTAAAAATGTTTTTACAAAATTTTAGTTTTGCATTGCATAGAAAGTGTTAAACTATTCAAAAAATAAATAAAACATAATAACAGTAAATAGATAAACTAAAATATAAATCTTCAAACAAATATAATATGAATTAGCATATCAAAAGCAACAGTAATAGTAACAATGAATCAAAGTAGATGTATAGTAACAAGGTATCAAATATGGGTGTGGTACAAATATATTTGAATGCAAGGAAGTGTAGGCTGGTTCTTCAAATGGAATATGAAATTAAATTTTTAATGGCATAAGAAAGTATTTGACTAATTATAAGAGATATTAATTTTAAAAATCACTTAATCAACTATAGATAGCACTTGTTTTTTTACCCACGGTTAGGCGCGCGGGGTTATATAGAACCCCCGGGGTGTTTAAACGCGTGTATTTTTTAAAATTTTTAGTGCTAAAAAATGATGCCCTCAGTACCTTCCTTCCATGGTGTAAAGATCGCACCGAAAAAATTTCAATTTTGCACGAAAAAAATTTTTTGCATAGACTTATAATGGAAATCAGTGGGGTGCTATAGTACCCCGAGCGCCTAACGGTGTAATTTTTTTCGCGCGACTAACGGAGGTGGGTCGATCTGACTTCGTGTTTTGAGGGAAAGCTTATTGGTTGATATAGAGTCAGTCATGATAGAAATGACCAACTAAAGCATAAAAGGCGTAAAAACAGGATTTTTAAAGCCAATAAACGGCAAAAAAGTTTTCCATAGACTTAACATTGACAGTTTGAAAGGTGGCGTTTTTTGGCGATATTTGTTGCTAAACGGTGTTGAAAACATGTTTATTCGTCTAAATAATGTCAAGCGACTTATTATTAGTAAATTAGAAGTGGAAAAAAAGATTAAAACACGCGATTTTATAGCGATTGTTTACATACTTCCATGTGGTGGCCTTCGGGGGCGTGGCATTTCGCGGGAATATTTCCAGCAACTGTTTTTATAGGTCGATCTAATAACAGACATATAAATTAACCAATTACAGTGCAAAAGAAGTTTACTATCGATGTTATCTGCCAATAATCTCCATTTTTATCTCTACTTGCTGTTTGATTTTACATGGTGTTTTTTTGGAAATATTGAGATATTTTTGGCCCAGGGTTGGTACAAAGAATTTAATTGTTGTAACAGTTAAAAAACACATACAGGAAGACGATTGACAGCTTAGATAGCATCAGACTTGTTTACAGTNATTATTATATTCTTACTTGTTCCTTTCTGGTTTTCATTTCATCTGATGTACCAAGAGGGTTGCTCATCCATCAGAGTACTGTGATGAATGTGCAACCCTCAATAGATGTGTAATGAGTGGCCTATCATGTTATTTCTTGTTTTTTTATTGTATCTAGTGGGTTTTATTGTATTGTGTATTTTTCTCCCATTATCTTTAGATTATCTTCATTCTTTACTTTATTGGTCTAAGATATTTTTATATGTGGCACCAGCACATTTCAAATGATTTGGATTTATGCTCTTTGGGCCTTCTTGAAAGTCTGTGTCTTAGAGGCATAGCTACTAACTACATTTCATACATGATTTTTGATGAAATGTTTTCTGGTTTTGAATAATTTTGTTTTAGATGTTAGGAGAATTAATTATTTGACATTCAGGTTTAATTAACTCTATCTCTTCATTATGCAGAAATGCATAAAATATGTTCATCAACAAATTAATTTGCTTGTATTGATTTTGTATAATATACATAATTTGTGATTAAGTTGTTTAAATTTAAAATCTATAATAATTGCTATAGACTAGATATTAATTAGAGATATCTAAACTGCAAAACATAATAAAGAAGTTTAAAAATTATAACACCAATAAATCTTCTTCAATAGAAGAAAGAAAAATAAATTCTATACTCTTAACTTTAATACATCAATTAATTTATCTTAGAAGTTTAGCCACCCTATTTTTCAATCACTTTTGTTTAATTTTTTCCATCATTTATTTTTCTGCCACACCCATATTTGACTCCTTGTTTCTATTCAATATAATTCATACTATATTCTTGCATGTAATTCATACTATATTTGATCTGCACTGATTTATACCTAAATTTTACATTTATCAATATTTTTTCTAATTTTTTTTATAATTTAACAGTTTCTATGCAGTGACATAAATTATAAAATTATGGCTATATGTATACTTTTTTATTTTGAAAATTAGAAAAAAAAATCTTAATTAAGATTTTATTTTTTCAAAAAAATAAAATTTCTATAGGTTATTTCTATACATAATACATATTTGTGTAATACTTTTATTCTGAAAATTAAAAATGTTTTTACAAAATTTTAGTTTTGCATTGCATAGAAAGTGTTAAACTATTCAAAAAATAAATAAAACATAATAACAATAAATAGATAAACTAAAATATAAATCTTCAAACAAATATAATATGAATTAGCATATCAAAAGCAACAGTAATAGTAACAATGAATCAAAGTAGATGTATAGTAACAAGGTATCAAATATGGGTGTGGTACAAATATATTTGAATGCAAGGAAGTGTAGGCTGGTTCTTCAAATGGAATATGAAATTAAATTTTTAATGGCATAAGAAAGTATTTGACTAATTATAAGAGATATTAATTTTAAAAATCACTTAATCAACTATAGATAGCACTTGTTTTTTTACCCACGGT